CTCGGAGCCCCGCCTCCAGGCCGGGCCCCAGCCCCCGCGCCGCCGGTCGCAAAGAGGCCCCCAGCGTCCTTCAGACCCTCCTGAGACGCCTTCTGATGGCGCAGGAAGCGGCAGGCGTGAAGGACCCCCAGGTCCCCCAGCCACGCAAGGCTCAGTAGCGGCGCCACCCCGGTCCCCGGCATGCTGTCGAACGGAGCTCATCCCTGGGCAAGAGTAACTGCTGCTCCGGTGAACGGATGCGGATGGGGACCTGGTTTGAGGCTTTAACACACGTGCCGGACGTTTTATTACGGTGGAATCGAAGAGGATGCAGGTTTCACTTGGCGGAAATTCAGCTCTATCCCCTGACCCAACTCAGGCCAGACGAGGACATGTCTTATGAGTGCCCTGCCCCTCGGTTTTGCCAAAGGCATATACCCCACCCGCTGGCTCAAACCTCCTTGGCGGGTTGAGGTTAAACCCCGTTTCAGGGAGCCTGCATCTTTTTCTTGGCGGCTGGGCAGTACAGGCCTCCGAACCCGTGCCGTATAAGGCTGTACTGATCCAGCTAGAGCCCTCAAAAATAATTCCGATTTGATTTAGAAGTATTCATTTAGAACAGGAACAGAAAGGGGATTAAGCTTCATCATCTTCAAGTTAATCCACCTTTAACAGAACCATGGTGAGGCCTAGATCACTGTCACCCCCCTTCACCTGGGGCTGGGGGCCTCATCAGCCCACCTCCACTTCAGTCTTGCCAGGAGGCAAGCGCAGCAGGCAAGGCAGCTGGGCTGGCCCTGTCCATGTCCCTCTGTACAAATGATGGCGTTCTCCCTCTAACCCATCCAGGTACAGATCTGATGACAGGCAATGGTCACAAAGAGAAGCTCCCCACTTCTGTCTCTGAACTCTAGCTCCAGAGTGGCAGTGGCCTTGAGGCCCCTCCCCCTGAAATGGAAGAGTCTGGCCCTCAGAGCACCTAGCCCCCTGCCCAGGTGGACACAGTACGTGCTGGAGCATAGGATTCTCCTATCTTCTTTCCACCTGAGGTTGGGCTCCCATTTTCCCCCATGACTCACTCCACCACACCCCCAGGTGAAACAAGGAAAATTAGGAAAAGCTAGGGCCTCATGCTGTCCCCCCCGTCCCCACCACCACTGAGCTGCCCCTAGGCCTGGGTCCCAGCTCATGTTAGAGTGTTCATATTCATACTGACTCAAGGACAGCTAAGAAACGGGCTGTCTGCCCCCCAGTCCTGCCCAGGATAGGCAGTATAGCTCAGCCTCCCCCACACATCCTGCGCAGTAAGACGCTCAAGTGGTGGCTGCTGAATTTACACCACAAACTTGTTCTTGGCCAGAGAGTTGCTCTTGGTGGCCGTGTCTGCGTGGGCCTGGTACCCGATGACAGTGCTCGTGGAGAGGCCCAGGCGCTCTTTGTATACATGCCTAGGGGGTGGGACAGAGAGGGATCAAGACATGGGTAGTCAGCAGAGGGTCCTGTAACCTAGGCCACCAAACTCCTACCCTTGTTTCAGCTACAGCCACTCCCCTTGTGTCTTACCCATGTGGAAACCCCAAAATGACTAATACAAAAGAAGAATTGTGCTAGAAATAGTTTGAAATCTGGATTCCAAACCCTTTTATACAGGGGGGGGCAAGGCAGAAGGGGGAGAGGGGTATGGAGAGTTCCAGAGGTCTCCCTTGCAGGGCAAGCCACCCCCCTGCCTGAGCCAGAAATACCCCTCACCCGATGTGCAGCACGCCCGCCTGGTTCTCCGCCTCCCGGGTCCACACAGCAATCTTGTCCCCTTTGGTGCGGATATTGATGACAGCCCCACACACCTCCCTGCTGTGTTCATCAAAGCTCTCCCCAATCAGACACAGCAGCTGCTCCCAAAGGGGGAAATGGTGAGACCTCCAGCTGGGGCATGGGGACTGCCCCGCTGTTCTTGGGACCCCTGCCACCAAGAGACCCAAGCCAGCCCCATCCCCTTTCCCTGGGGACGATCCCTCCCAGCTCCCCCAACTCACTGTCTCCAGCCACAGACGGTCCAGCTCACTATGGCGCTGCTGCTTGGCAAGGCTGACCAGCCAGCGGCCACCGCACTTGTTCCTGCTGTCTTCCCACATGGGCTTGATGCCATCCTGCCAGGTGGGATGGCAAATCAACTGTCTTTTGGTTCAGTGGGAAGTGGGGACCCAGTTACCTTCCCAACTTTGTCTGCCCTCTGCCCAGCCCCGATATAGGCCAGGTTCTCTTTCACCTGCATCCCCTCTGTCCAAGTAGGTTCCACCACCAACCACTAAGCCCACCAGACAGATACCGTTCTGAACTCCCACAGGCCCCTGAGCCTCAATCTTGGTCACCTCTTACAGTCATCTGTGTGTGTCTCCTTTACTGAACTGAATTCCTTGAGACAAGAATTCAAATGGGGACAATTAAGGAAGCCTCTGGGGCAGACCCCAGTGTGGGCAAGAGGAGACATCCGGGTTTGGCCACACACGTCCCGAAACCTTGCTGGGCAGAAAGCAGCTGGGGAATCTTTAAACAGTGGTGTCAGCACCTCAGGGATGGGCCTGGACATTGGTGAGGAGTGTCCTCGGGCAGTTCTGATGTGTGTCCTAGTTAAGAAGCCAGGCCAGAAACCTGGGCTCCTTCCTTCATCCTCTTCTCCCCCAACCCCTTCCAGACTCTTAAATGTCCTTCAAGGTACGACTCAGGTCTGACATACTTTGTCCAGGATCTGTACAGAATTTCCAATCAGGAATCACATCTCTGCTCTAAGAGAGGCTGTCTGCGACATCCCACCCCAATTCCCCTATGAGAGAGGAATGTGGCAGAAGGTCGGAAGAATCAGCTGCCTGTCCTTTGAGGCGGGGGGACAGAGAGCAGAGCTTACCTTGAATAGCGCGTAGTCACAGCCGGAAGACAGCTTACTAGCCAGCTGGATGTGACTGTACATCCTGGAGACAGAACCCCCCCAGCCCCGTGCTGAAAGTCAAGGTTCTTCAGGGCCCAGTTCCATCTGGTCTCCACCCCCCCAGCTCCTCACCAGACTCCACTGCTTCCCAGCACCTTCCAGCCTCCACGCCTTTGTTCACCCTCAGTCTGCTGCCTGGAATTCCCTCCCTACTTACCCAAACCTTCAAACCCCACCTTCTCCCTGGAGCCGTCCCCAACCATCAAAGCCCAGTGAAGCCAGAGCCCCTGAGGAGGGTCGTAGACCCCCAGGGCGCCCCTGCATCTGGAGCCCCAGGCCTTCTTGCCGTCCCCTAGGGTTTGCACAGTACTTTTCAGATCCTCTTCCTTGGTCACGCACAGACACTCTGTAGCAGCCTAATCCTCACTTTGTGGCTGAGGCAGGTTCAGAGAGGGGAAGGGACTTGCCCAGAGTCACAAAGTCATGGAGTGGCAGAGTCAGGGTTAGCTTCTTGCTTCTCCCACTCCCCAGGCACCCTCCTTAAGCCCCGTAAAGGCTTCAAGGTGGGGGAGGGTGGCCGTATCCCAACCCCAATGCCCCCTGGACAGAACCCACGAAGCCCCAGCCCTCAACAAAGGGCTGGCAGGGCTGTGTAGGAAGCAACCCCCTGGAGGGATGGAATCTGGGAAGGATCCTGAGCTCAGAGCCCCTGGCCCCAGTTCATGAGGGGCAGACACTCACGCCCAAAAGTCCTCCACGGTGTCAACCTTGGTGACCAGATGCAGGTTGTCCTGCCAGGCCCGGCTGCGGTCATTCTTGAAGAACCACAGAGCCCACCTGGTTGGAGGGTGCACAGGGAGGTGGCCGGGAGGAAGCAGAGAGGCCCCCATGTCCACCCCCAGCAGCACTGGGTTGGCAGGGAGGTCCCTCTCCTTCAAGAAAAAACTGGGGGATAGGATTTGGGGCACAGACCCCCCCCCCGCAAGACGAGTGAAGTCAGTTATTCTGAAGGGCTGGGGGATGGCAGTAACCCAGAATCTCAGTTGGGTTAAGGCTGGCAAAGCCAACGGGGCCCAAGGCCTAGCTCAGCTCTGGCCCTTCACAATGAGGCACTGTGGTCTGTGAGAGGAAAGCGCCATCCTAGGCCACACAGCCAGCAATCACAGAAGCTGGCCTAAAAGCAGCGGTCTGTGTTCAGTTCTGCAGCCCCCTACCTACCTGTTCTGCAAGGGGTGAAGCGCTAGCTTGGCCTCCACAGGGCCCCCATCCCGGGCCTTCCTCCCCAGAGACGGCAAAGTCCTGGGAGACTTAAGAGCCTCCTCTTCCTTCTTCTCCTTCTCCTCCTTCTCCCACTTTTGGGTTCCTCCCTTAGCCTCAGCCTGACCAAAGAAAAGAAGGTGGCTGTGAGCTCTAGCCCCAGCTGCCCGCCATGCCGCCCCTGGCCCCCCAACCCATCTCTTGCTCCAGAAAGGACAGGCAGGTGAACTCACAGGGCTGGCGGTAGCCATGCCTCAACTCAAGCTCCACAGGGACCCAGCATGCAAGGGACCCCCAGCTGCCGGCTTTTAACCTACCAGCGCCCCACCCCCACCCACCCAGGGCAGGGGAGGGGGAGGAGCCAGCATGTGTAGGGTAGGGGGTGGAGGCTCAGAGGTGGGCAGACTTGCCCGATTCCTCCCATCAGCAGGCATTTAGTGAGTGCCTTCTGCCTGCTGGCCAGAACTCTAGACACTCTGCTATCACCAGGCAGACTCAGCCCCGTGCAGTGGGGTCTGAGACATGAAGGTCAGGGTCAACATTTGGGGTCTTCCCTTAGGGAAAATGGGGCCATCCCACTGAGAGTGGCCCCTGAATCGAAAGTGGACTGCCCCACAGATGGCAGAAGCAGCAACGTTGACATAGCCATGGACGCCATCTGGTACTATTTACACCCTCAATTTGGGCACCTGACGTCATCCGGTGCAGGCTTTATCTGGTCTATAGAAGCATCTGAGTTTTTAAAAAATATAATCACTTGTTAACGTTTAGACACAGGGAGATTTTGTATTAAAATCCACAGTTTGGGGCCGGCCCGTGGCTCACTCGGGAGAGTGCGGTGCTGATAACACCAAGGCCCCGGGTTCGGATCCCATATAGGGATGGCCGGTTCGCTCACTGGCTGAGCGTGGTGCTGACAACACCAAGTCAAGGGTTAAGATCCCCTTACCGGTCATCTTTAAAAAAAAAAAGATAAAATCCACAGTTTGGGTTTCTCTTGAGAGCTTGGGAAGGCATGGCACACTGGAGCCTCAGCCACAACAGGTCCACGATCTGTTGTGGCTGAGGCTGCCCTGTGGACAGGCACACAAGGGTCCCTGCAGCTCCCACCTTACCTCTGCCCCAGCTGAGTGTTTCCTACCTGGGCATCGATGGCTAGGGGCAGTGCCACAGTCCCACAGCCTGGGCTCAAGTCCTGCCCTACCCTGATCTCGGCCAAGTTACTAAATCTCACTGGGCCTCAGTTTCCCTGTCTGTAAAATGGGAATGCTAACACAACTCAAAGCCTTGTTGTTGGATCCCTGGACTAGCCAGCTGCCAAAAAAAAAAAGTTTGTTGTGAGTATTAGGTGATATAAAACACGTTAAGCCCATAGAACAAGGCCTCGCTCAATGCCCGATAGAAGTCAGCTGAGGGCTACCCCAGGGGAGGGGAAGGGAGGGGGAGGGGAAGTGGCGGAGGGGGCAGCTCTGGCTCTGGACACTCTTCCTTGGCCCCTTTTCTGCAGGGGCTGAAGTCTCCCCAGGTTCTTTAAGGTTTCTCATCCTCCCCTTCCTTGGCCACTTTTAAGGTCCCAAATCAGTCCCTTTCCCTCTCCCGCACCTGAGGGAACCCATGACCATCTGGAAGCTGACAGTCACTATTTGCTCATCCCCTGGCCCTAAGCTCCTGGCACGTGCCAGGCACCGGGCGAGTTGCTGGGAGCAATGAGGAGCAGAGAGCGGTGCCTGTACTCAGGCCTGTCGGGGAGCCAGACATTCATTGGATAATCTCACAAAGACCTTTCTCATCACAAATGCAAACCTCTGCAGGAAAGGAATCTGGGGATGGGAGAAAATAAAGTCCCTGACCTGAACCGGGGGCTTTAGAGTGGCAGTTCTCCAGTGCACGGATCAGAATCACCTGCAGGGCTTGTTAAACACAGACTGCTGGGCCCTGCCCCAGAGTTAATGATTCTTTAGTTCTGGGTTTGGACTGAGAATTTGCATTTCTAACAAGTTCCCAGCTGATGCTGATGATGCTGGTTAGGGACCCTATTTTGAGAACCTGGCTTAGGGGCAGTTCACCCAAGACGTGAATTTGAGCTGAGACCTTAAGCATGAGGGAGAGGTAACTAGATGGGTGGGGCAGGGCATCTCAGGGAATGGGAATGGCAGGAGCAAAGGCAGGGTGGGGGACTGGAGGAAGAGAAGAAAGACCAGTGTGGCTGAAGCCCGAAGGGGAAAGGGGTGGATAAGCCTTGATGGGAGGAGGACTGGAGAGCCACTGAATGCTTCAAGTGGGTGCAGATGGGTTGGGGAGGTAATCAGATGTGCTTTTCAGCAAGTTCTCTGCACAGCTGTGAGAAAACAACCCTGCTGCTGCAAGAGTAAGTGGGAGGACATCGATTAGGATGCTAAAGGAGTTGTCCAGGAGGCAGAGAAGATGATGGATTTAAGAGGTATTTAGAAGGAAAACTCAGTGCTATTTGGTGATAGGCCCTGGAGAGGGGAAGCACAGAGTCCTGGTTATCTACTGCCACATAACAAACCACTACAAACTCAGTGGCTTAAAGTAATCATTTATTATGCTCACAAATCTGCAATTTGGGCAGCACTCAGGACAGCTCGTCTCTGCTCCAAAGCAAGATCAGTAGGGGTGGCCCACAGTTTGGGGCTGGAATCATCCCATCACTCACACATGGGGCAGCTGTTGCTGGCTGTCGGCTGGAAGCTCAGCCAGGGGCGTCAGCTGGGACAGCTGTCTGTGGCCTCTCCATGTGGCTGCTTGGCTTCCTCACAGCACAGTGGAAGGACGAGCTCAGGGCGAGCTCCCAAGAGATGGGAAGCAGGAGCTGCCAGTTTCTTAATACCTGGGCCTGAAACCTGGCATAGCATCAGGCCCACTGTATTCTAGGGTCTCAGGGCCCAAATTGAAGGGAGTAGACATAATTCTACTTCTCAGCAGGAAGCGTGTTGAAGAATTTTGTACAGAGGAAACACTAGAGGAGAACCAGGCTTGGAAAGAGATCATGAACCTAGATTTGGTGGAGGAAAAAGGAGGAAGGACTATCCCAAAGTACCAGGCCTTAGCTGACTTAGAGTCCTGGCCCAGAGCCTGGCACGGAATGCCACCCCTTCCCACCATCTTCCACATTTTCCAGCCTGGGGCAGCCCCTGGAGTCTGGGATTGGAGTGACTAAGGAGAGAGACCCTAAGAGCAAACTCCCTAGCCCTACTAGGGTCCTGGCTCCTACCCAAGGCCCTCCCAAGTTTGTCAGTGAGAAACATCGCCAAGGTGAGATTGAATCCCAATCCTGCATTCTATTCCTAAAATACCTTGAATCTGCCCACTCCTTTCCCTCCCTACTCCCCCTACCACAGGCAAGCCATCTCTGGCCTTGGCCACTGCATGAGTACTTCCTAACACCCTCTTTGCTTCCATTCCTGACTCTGCAGAACATTCTCCACCTGCCCCAGAGGGATCATCTGAAATATTAATCTGATCACTTCACTCCTGTGTTTAAAACCCTCTAGGACGCCCAGGATAGGATCCAAAGTCCAGGTTCTGGGCCTGCTATTTCTTACGTGATCCAGAGTCCTAGTGCTCTGAGTGCACTGATTCTGCAGCGGGCCAGATTTGCTTCTGCCCCCGTGCCTTTGCACTTGCGGGTTTCTCTGCAACTCTTTACACAACTGACTTCTTGTCTTTCAGGGCTTGGCTCAAATGCCACCTGTCAAAGAGGCTCTCCTGACCATCCTCTATAAAGAAGACCACTCTCCCTCATGCATTCTATTTTGTTTTTGGCAGCTGGCTGGCATGGGGATCTGAACCCTGAACCTTGGAGTTATCAACACCATGCTCCAACCAGTCAGCTAACCAGCCAGCCCACCCTCATGCACTCTTTAACTCATCACCCTGTTTCCTTTCCTTCTTGGCACTTAGCATTACTCATTGATTCATTCAGTTAGCTATTTATTCAGCAAGTACTCACCCACCAGTTACCTTGTGCGAGGCCCTGTTCCAGACTCCAAAGAGTACAGCTGTAAACAAAATAGATGGTTCCTCCTCTTTTCTTCAGAAGGCCCTATGACTAAAACCTGGAACCTCCTCTCCGTTCTATCAACACTTGCTGCTTCATGCCCTCATCCAGTCACAGCTGTTAAATGTCACATATATAGTGACAGCTCTGGCCCCCTCCTGATATCCAGAGAAGCATGTCTGACTGACTGCTCGACGCCTCCATCTGGGTATCTAATGTGCATCTCAGAGTTATCACATCCCAAGCTCCATTCCTGACCTCCCTGTGTCCCCAGACAGGCTCTTCCCACAGTCTTCTCCATCCATCCATCCAATTGCTCAGCCAGAAACTTGGAAATACTTCTAGATTCTCATCTTTCTAACCCATCAGCACATTCCATCTTCAGTTCTACTTTCAAAACATATCCAGGATACAAATACTTCTCTCCACCTCCATTGCCACCACCATAGCCCAAGTGACTGTCATCTTGCTTGTATTAAGGTGATGGCCCCTGAACTGGTCCTCAGTTTTCACCCTTGCCTTTGGTGAGTGTCGCTGGTGATTTTGATAAGAGCAACACAGCCCGAAGCATCTTATATGGTTACTAGTTCACTTGTTAATTCTCTGTCCCATCCTATGAGAATGACAAGTTCCAGAAAAGCAAGGACGTCATTGGTCTTGTTTTCTGCTGAATCTCCTGTACCTAGGATGGTACCTGGCACCAAGTAGGCACTCAGGAAAAAATAAATGCCAGACTGGCCGGTTAGCTCAATTGGTTAGAGTACAGCCTTGTAATACCAGGGTCATGGTTTGGATCCCTGAACCAGCCAGCTACCAAAACAAAAAAATAAAAAACAGTTTATTTAAAAAAAGAGAAAAGAATAAATGCCAATGACTTCCTGTCTCTGGTTGTCATTTCTCTCATCTGTAAAATGGAAATAAAAATGCCTGCTTTGAAGAATTGTTTTTATCATTACACAATGTAAACATTTTTTTTGTAGCCCTTTGCCAATTTCTCTCTAACCCTCACTCCACCTTAGTTCTGTTCTCTCCTTTTGAAGGTTCAAGGAATTACTGTGATTGTTGTATCTATCTTTTTTTTTATCCAGCTCCCACTAGAGTGAGGACGTGAGGTATTTCTCTTTTAACATAAAAAATTATTAACATAATTTTCTCTAAGTTCATCTGTGGTGCTGCAAATGGCAGAATTTCATTCCTTTTTATGGCAGAGTAGTACGTCATTGTGTATAT